CCCCCACTTTGCCTATGGGGGTGTGTCAGAGTTATATGACATAGCTACTGTAGGCTATAGTGGGTTTAGCCCATATGGGGTACAGTTGCCTAGGGTTTGCCTTTTTGTACCCAACTTTCACTTAGTCATTTCATTCCTGTTTTCTTGATTCACAGCATGCACGTCAGGGTCGAGCTCCGACAGGTAGTCATCCTCCTCGGCGTCGTCATACAACAGGTCGTCGTCGACCTCGTCGAACACCGTGGTAAAGGCAGCTGGCGGTAGGCAGGCGTGGAAGCTCAGCCGCTCCGGTGGCCGTCGAGCTCGACCTGTGCGTCGCACCTCAGGCTTCGTGATCGGCACTTCCACCATGTCGCTTTCGTTGGACTCCTCACCCGCCGACTGCTCCCCTTCCTCATCGACGACCTCGTCGTCGACCAGCTGCTTCGACCCGTCGACCGGCTGCTCGTCTGCTGCTGACTTCGACAGCTCCCCTGTCGACCGCCCCGGCTGTTGCTCCCCTGTCGGCTGCACCGCTGCTGTTGCCTCCTGTTCGAACGGCTCCCCTGTCTGCTGCTCCCCTGTTGCCGACGGCTTCCCATCCTGGTCGACGAGCTTGGCGCCTTATCGACCGCCGGCGATGCCATGGGCCGGCGCCACAGGCGACGCCTCAAGGCTCCCCTCATCGTCGGTGGTCGACACAGGTGCCGACCCAGGCCGATCTGCGACGGGGAACGGAGGAGCAAGGACAGGGGGAGAGGAAAGAACCTCCACAATATCCTCAACAGCAGGCTCGTCGACTTCGGCGAGCAACGGAATCGTCGCCGTCGAGGTGTCCGTCGGCGGGTGCGCCTGCGTCCGCCCAGATGCCGGCCCATACTTCGCCTTCCACACCTCCAGCAACAGCGTCTCGTAGAAGATCACCTCGACCGACGTGACCACCTTGTTGTCGGTCAGGTCGAGCACCTCCAAGCCCTTGCTCTCCGGCGATACACCCAGGTGAAGTGCCCAGCGAGCCTTCGGCGCCAGCTTCCCACCACGTTGCCAGCAGTCGCCGCTTATCGTATTTTTCGGCCGTTTATAACGTTTTAATACGCCAAAAAGTGGTAATTCTAATGTGGTGCAAAAAAACGGCCGTTTTTTACAGCAGAAATCTTGAAACCAGCTGGTTTACACATATTTTCAAGTATTGGTTCTAACCATGAACCCTCGATCGGATGAACCAGCCATGAGGAAGTCAAAGGGGATTCATCAGTGGGACTGTAGTAGAACGGTGACTCCAGGGAGGAGAGGATGAAGAGTCTGGGGGGAGGAGGAGGAGGGTTGAACGAGCGCAACCTAGACACTTTGTAAGCATTGTATTGCTTCTTTGCTATCCTGGTCAGGAGCGGAGTCGTGTCTACTGTCTTCAAAAAAAAAAAAAAAACAAGAGGCGACGAAATCGTCTTAGGGTTGCGAAGCAACATTACACTGTTATTTTTAGATACATCTGATCTATAGTGAGAATTATATAATGTCGTAACATGACTTTGATATTTGCTGAATCATTGCTATTCATAGATACATGTTTCATATAATATGGGAGTATACAAATGAAAGGGTGTACATAACAGATGGGTGTGGTTGTTTAGGGTAAGTTATTCTTGTTGTGTTCATATGATTTGGTTTTAGGGTGACTGAAAATCTGAAACAAAAAAAGCTACAGAAAGGAAAAGCCTTATTTTACCCAAACAATGTCCATGACCAGACTCGGTCTCCCGACCTTCGCGATGAATCGCGGCTTCGACAGAGCTGTGCTATACAATCCGACTTTGTAGTGGCGTAAAATATATCGACCTTAAATGCAATAAAAACGTCCCATTCTAGGGTTTCGTCAAATGTCTTTTTGCTCCGTTTCTCTTCCACCTAGTCAGACTACTCTAGCTTCTCCCCGTCCCTCACGCCACTCACGCCACTCACACCACTCAGACTATAACTCCTAGTTAAGGTAAGCCTCATTCTCTCTATTCTTAAGTTCATTCTAGTTGAGAGTGGGTTCTAGTTTAGCTCATTTGGTTGAGAGTTGTTTTTTTTTAAACGAGATCTAGACGTATTTTGTTTCTTAACCTCGCTTTCTTCCTAGGTTATGCACCGTACTTTTGTTCTCTCCTTCCCTCTCCTTCTCTCCACTTCTTCCCATCTTCTTCTCTCCTTTATTTCGATTTACATTCTACTTGCTTGCTCTTTTCAGCTCTTGCTCTTACTTTTGTCTTCTTCCGTACGCTGTTTCTTGATTTATTCCTCTTCCTTAATTGAAATTTGACATGATTATTAACAATTATGTTCAGAGAGTTAAATTATTAGGTTGGAGCATTCTCTTTCTCGTTCTCTTTCTCGTTCTCTCGTTGTCTAGTTCTTTCTCGTTCTCTCGTTCGTTCTCCCTCGTTCTTTCTCTCCCGTTTTCTCTCTCTCTCTCGCGTTCTCTCTCTCTCTCTCTCTTGTTCTCTCTTTCTCTCGTTCTCTCGTTCTCCCTCGTTTTCTCGTTCTCTCTCTCTTCTCTCTCTCTCTCTCGTTATTTCACTCTCGTACTCTCGTTCTCGCTCTCGATCGTTCACCCTCGTTCTCTCTCGCTCGTTCCCTCTCTCGTTCTCTCCCTCTCGTTTCTCGTTTTCTCTCTATCGTTCTCTCTCTCTCGTTCTCTCTCGTTTTCTTTCTCTCTCGATCTCTCTCTCTCTCGTTCTCCCTCTCTCGTCCTCTCTCTCTCGATCTCTCTCTCGTTCTCTCTCTCTCTCTCGTTCTCTCTCTCTCGTTCTCTCTCTCGTTCTCTCTCTTGTTCTCTCTCTCTCTCGTTCTCTTTCTCTCTCGTTTTCTCATTCTTGTTCTCTCGTTCTCTCTCTCTCTCTCGTTCTCTCTCTCTCTCGTTCTCTCTCTCTCGTTCTCTTTCTCTCTCGTTTTCTCGTTCTTGTTCTCTCGTTCTCTCTCTCTCGTTCTCTCTCTCATGTTCCCTCTCTCTTGGTCCTGATTATTTATATTTACCACTTTTCTATGATTTATTTTTCTCTTTATCTACTTTGTTTTTGTTTCCAGGAGTTTTGCTGATCAAGAAGACGAGTGCAATCTGGACAATTTGTAGTTGTCACTTATAGGATTTCCCATATTGCCATCTTTATTTTGTTTTGCATCTTTTATGTCTTATCGTAAGTTTTTGGCTCGTTTTTTTGTTGTGCATGCGTTTGGTTGTTGTGAATGTGTTTGCTTGTCTGAGTGTGCATTCATCCATCATTGCAATAACAATGCATGTCTTTGAATTTTAAAAAGGTGAATCGGCTCTATCATCTTTACCAAAAGGTTCATTGGCGCGCTTGTCGGGAGCCCACTTGAACTGGAGATGATAGAGTTGACCATCTTTTTGGAGTTCACAGATTGTGTTGTCTCATGTGACTGCTGATTGTTCAAAGATTATGCTATCAACTCCCCGACATGCTAGGCGGGGGATGCGGTAGCATAGTTTTTGGGTCGTTAGCTTTCACGCATCTCTATCATTATAAATATGCATCATAGATTGTCAGTAATATGTAAGCATTATTCGTATCGAACATAAGGCATGCATTTATCATTTATCATATCGTATCATATCATACACAATATATTTCATATAATATCAATCTATTCATCTACATTCACTGATCATTATATTCATCTCATCATATTATGTGCATATTATACGGTAGTAAATCACAGAAATAACCTAGTTGTCTAAAAAAATCGGTACCACCACGTTAGTACAATTGAACTAGACAGGACCTCCTACAGTTTCCGTAGCTATCAATTAGGAAAATCAGTTTTTTTTTCATTTTCATATTTTATTTTAAATAAATAAAATGTGAAAATGTGAAAAAAAAAATGGCCAAATCGATCGTAATAGGTTGCTTCGCAACCCAAAAAATCACAAAATCTCTAACAAAAAAACGGCCGAATTTTTTAAATCTGACCGTAAAATACGAGCGTAAAAAACGGTCCGTATTTTACGTTTGCCGAAATTTTGCACCTTGCTCATGCATGCACGCTCCCATGCCCCCATGCAACCATGCACACGTGGACCCACCTATGCACCCCCATACACCCTTTCGCACCCCTCTATGGTGTGAGGGCGAGCACTCGTGCAAGCTGACGATGCACCCGTGCCTGCTCCTTGCTCTCCGCTCTCCACCTTCCCCCACGACTGCAGGTTGAGGGAGCAGCGAAGGAAGGAGGGCGAGGCGCCAGCATCTGGGATGTGTTTGCCCACACGCCATGTACTCTGCACCTGGACTGTAGCACGGTAGGTACTCTGCACCTGGACTGTAGCACGGCAGGTACTCTGCACCTGGACTGTAGCACGCCAGATACTCTGCACCTGGACTGTAGCACGCCAGGTACTCTGCACCTGGACTGTAGCACGCCAGGTACCCTGCACCTGGACTGTAGCACGCCAGGTGTTGTACATCCATAGAGTAACACACCGGGCACTAGATGTTTAATGCAGCGACTTGTACAAGCACTGGCATGTTTGTCACCGGTGTGTTAGTATCGAAACGCATCAGTGCCCTCTGGTATGGTAGATTGCACTGCTCGCCCACTATCGGCATAGAGCCCAGATGCCATGTGTGCTTGTGTTGCGTGTGAAGTGAGCTGCTTTCATGAGCATGATCAAGCAAACATGGCCATGTGTGTGCATGTCTGGGTTGGAATGTCTGTGCATCTCTGTACATGTCTGTGCATGTCTGGACATGTCGGAGCAACCATCCAATCGGGTATCTGTGTGCTGCGAACCTGTGTGCTGCGAACCTGTGTGGCGTGAACCTGTGTGGTGCGAACCTGTGTGGTGCAAACCTGTGTGCTGCGAACCTGTGTGCTGCGAACCTGTGTGCTGCGAACCTGTGTGCTGCTAACCTGTGTGTTGCGAACCTGTGTGCTGCGAACCTGTGTGGTGCGAACCTGTGTGGTGCGAACCTGTGTGGTGCGAACCTGTGTGGTGCGAACCTGTGTGGTGTGTCGCACAGGAAGGATGCACAACGGGGACACGGGTGACGTGGCGTGCGACCAGTACCACCGATATGAGGTGCGTGCCAATGCCACCGACATGAGGTGCGTGCCAATGCCACCGATATGAGGTGCGTGCCAATGCCACCGATATGAGGTGCGTGCCAATGCCACCGATATGACGTGCCAATGCCACCGATATGAGGTGCGTGCCAATGCCACCGATGTGAGGTGCGTGCCAATGCCACCGATGTGAGGTGCGTGCCAATGCCACCGATGTGAGGTGCGTGCCAATGCCACCGATGTGAGGTGCGTGCCAATGCCACCGATGTGAGGTGCGTGCCAATGCCACCGATGTGAGGTGCGTGCCAATGCCACCGATGTGAGGTGCGTGCCAATGCCACCGATGTGAGGTGCGTGCCAATGCCACCGATGTAAGGTGCGTGCCAATGCCACCGATATGAGGTGCGTGCCAATGCCACCGATGTGAGGTGCGTGCCAATGCCACCGATATGAGGTGCGTGCCAATGCCACCGATATGAGGTGCGTGCCAATGCCACCGATATGAGGTGCGTGCCAATGCCACCGATATGAGGTGCGTGCCAATGCCACCGATATGAGGTGCGTGCCAATGCCACCGATATGAGGTGCGTGCCAATGCCACCGATATGAGGTGCGTGCCAATGCCACCGATATGAGGTGCGTGCCAATGCCACCGATATGAGGTGCGTGCCAATGCCACCGATATGACGTGCCAATGCCACCGATATGAGGTGCGTGCCAATGCCACCGATGTGAGGTGCGTGCCAATGCCACCGATGTGAGGTGCGTGCCAATGCCACCGATGTGAGGTGCGTGCCAATGCCACCGATGTGAGGTGCGTGCCAATGCCACCGATGTGAGGTGCGTGCCAATGCCACCGATGTGAGGTGCGTGCCAATGCCACCGATGTGAGGTGCGTGCCAATGCCACCGATGTGAGGTGCGTGCCAATGCCACCGATGTGAGGTGCGTGCCAATGCCACCGATGTGAGGTGCGTGCCAATGCCACCGATGTGAGGTGCGTGCCAATGCCACCGATGTGAGGTGCGTGCCAATGCCACCGATGTGAGGTGCGTGCCAATGCCACCGATGTGAGGTGCGTGCCAATGCCACCGATATGAGGTGCGTGCCAATGCCACCGATATGAGGTGCGTGCCAATGCCACCGATATGAGGTGCGTGCCAATGCCACCGATATGAGGTGCGTGCCAATGCCACTGATATGAGGTGCGTGCCAATGCCACCGATATGAGGTGCGTGCCAATGCCACCGATATGAGGTGCGTGCCAATGCCACCGATATGAGGTGCGTGCCAATGCCACCGATATGAGGTGCGTGCCAATGCCACCGATATGAGGTGCGTGCCAATGCCACCGATATGAGGTGCGTGCCAATGCAACCGATATGAGGTGCGTGCCAATGCCACCGATATGAGGTGCGTGCCAATGCCACCGATATGAGGTGCGTGCCAATGCCACCGATATGAGGTGCGTGCCATGCCCCGTCCCACCGGCACCGTGCCCCATCCGCTCAACCCACCCACCCACCCGCTCTGCCATTCACCAGCTGCTGCCCTCCTGCACTTCTGTGTCTGCCTCCTCCATGTTCATTGCCCATCCCTTTCCTCCTTTTCTTGCCTGCCTGCTTGCTTGCCTGCCTGCCTGCCTGCCTGCCTGCGTGCCTGCCTGCCTGCCTGCCTGCATGCAGGAGGACGTGGCGCTGATGAGGCATCTGCGCTTCTCAGCCTATCGCTTCTCCATCAGCTGGTCGCGCATCCTCCCATGTGTGTCCGCCTTCGTTGCCCTTTGCACTCCACACTTCATTCCCTACTTTGTCTGAGGTGCCAGAAAAGCCATGTCGCATGATGGAAATGGTCTCACAAACACACCACCCTACCCAACGCACCTCCTTCACTTGCTTGCTGTTGTGTTTTCGAACTCCACAACCACGAACATCAGAGCCTCCTCTCTCTACCCTGCTGCACTTGCCTCCAATCTTTGGGAGTTTTCGGTTCAGCTCTTACAACCGTCAAACTTTCCCCAAGAATTTCCCACCATTCCGCTGGTCTCCATGCGTCTCACGGGCTCACAGCGGGGCGGCAGCTAGTGAACCAGGAGGGAGTGGAGTACTACAACCGCCTCATTGACTGCTTGCTCCGTAATGGTGGGCTACCTATTGCAACCGCTCTGCACCTCTTTGCACCCCTTTGGACTATGTTGCGCCACTTTGCACAGCTCTGCAGCTCTCCTCTCCGTCCTTTGTATTGCACTGCATGTCAGCAGATCTTTTTAGTCGATTAAAAAAAACACTCCACGTCAGCAGAGAGGTAAAACTGGTTAGCAAAGCACTGGAGGAGGAGTTTGGAGGATTCAGAGGGGAGCAGGTTGTGTGAGTGAGAGTGAGTGTGAGTGTGCCTGTGGTGAGTATGTATGAGAATGACTGTGAGTGTGATGGCAGTGTTGGCGCCTTTTGAGGCACCTCACGGATGCGAGATTGCCCCAGCCTGGGATGTCACACTGCCGTGACCATCTGCCGTGACCCACTGCTGAGACCCACTGCTGGGACCCACTGCTGGGACCCACTGCTGGGACCCACTGCTGGGACCTGCCACAGGCGGTGGAGGAATTTGGAGGATTCAGAGGGGAGGCCATTGTATGAGTGGGCGTGAGTGTGTCTCTCGTGATGCTGTGGCTGACGGTTTCAACGGAGCCTCTGCTGCTGCCTTTGTTGATGCTGATTCTTGGAACGTTATACTACCTCCGTTCTCATCCTTCTGCTCTCATCACTCAACGCCTTTTCCACTCAGTAAAAGTCAGACGCACCTCATTGTGCGAGAACTCCCCACCGTTGGATTTCACACTGCCATGAACATTCATGTCTCTTTCTTCAACAAATGCGTGCCCATTGGCTTGTGTTTAGTCAGCCCCGCATGCAGGGAGCATGCGTTGCTCTGTCTACCTCTCTTCACGGACATAGTGCCCGCACCTCCCTCAACGAGCCCCCCTCCTCCACCAGCATGGGCTGCACCATCAAATACTCACCTCCCTGCTGTCTGCCCTTCTATCTCTCCCCAATGCACCCCCGCAATCCGGGACTATGCACGCCTCTGCTTCTCTCTCTTCGGTGACAGGGTGTCTCACCGGCGCACCTTCAATGGGCCCTGCACCTTCAATGGGCCCTGCACCTTCAATGGGCCCTGCACCTTCAATGGGCCCTGCACCTTCAATGGGCCCTGCACCTTCAATGGGCCCTGCACCTTCAATGGGCCCTGCACCTTCAATGGGCCCTGCACCTTCAATGGGCCCTGCACCTTCAATGGGCCCTGCACCTTCAATGGGCCCTGCACCTTCAATGGGCCCTGCACCTTCAATGGGCCCTGCACCTTCAATGGGCCCTGCACCTTCAATGGGCCCTGCACCTTCAATGGGCCCTGCACCTTCAATGGGCCCTGCACCTTCAATGGGCCCTGCACCTTCAATGGGCCCTGCACCTTCAATGGGCCCTGCACCTTCAATGGGCCCTGCACCTTCAATGGGCCCTGCACCTTCAATGGGCCCTGCACCTTCAATGGGCCCTGCACCTTCAATGGGCCCTGCACCTTCAATGGGCCCTGCACCTTCAATGGGCCCTGCACCTTCAATGGGCCCTGCACCTTCAATGGGCCCTGCACCTTCAATGGGCCCTGCACCTTCAATGGGCCCTGCACCTTCAATGGGCCCTGCACCTTCAATGGGCCCTGCACCTTCAATGGGCCCTGCACCTTCAATGGGCCCTGCACCTTCAATGGGCCCTGCACCTTCAATGGGCCCTGCACCTTCAATGGGCCCTGCACCTTCAATGGGCCCTGCACCTTCAATGGGCCCTGCACCTTCAATGGGCCCTGCACCTTCAATGGGCCCTGCACCTTCAATGGGCCCTGCACCTTCAATGGGCCCTGCACCTTCAATGGGCCCTGCACCTTCAATGGGCCCTGCACCTTCAATGGGCCCTGCACCTTCAATGGGCCCTGCACCTTCAATGGGCCCTGCACCTTCAATGGGCCCTGCACCTTCAATGGGCCCTGCACCTTCAATGGGCCCTGCACCTTCAATGGGCCCTGCACCTTCAATGGGCCCTGCACCTTCAATGGGCCCTGCACCTTCAATGGGCCCTGCACCTTCAATGGGCCCTGCACCTTCAATGGGCCCTGCACCTTCAATGGGCCCTGCACCTTCAATGGGCCCTGCACCTTCAATGGGCCCTGCACCTTCAATGGGCCCTGCACCTTCAATGGGCCCTGCACCTTCAATGGGCCCTGCACCTTCAATGGGCCCTGCACCTTCAATGGGCCCTGCACCTTCAATGGGCCCTGCACCTTCAATGGGCCCTGCACCTTCAATGGGCCCTGCACCTTCAATGGGCCCTGCACCTTCAATGGGCCCTGCACCTTCAATGGGCCCTGCACCTTCAATGGGCCCTGCACCTTCAATGGGCCCTGCACCTTCAATGGGCCCTGCACCTTCAATGGGCCCTGCACCTTCAATGGGCCCTGCACCTTCAATGGGCCCTGCACCTTCAATGGGCCCTGCACCTTCAATGGGCCCTGCACCTTCAATGGGCCCTGCACCTTCAATGGGCCCTGCACCTTCAATGGGCCCTGCACCTTCAATGGGCCCTGCACCTTCAATGGGCCCTGCACCTTCAATGGGCCCTGCACCTTCAATGGGCCCTGCACCTTCAATGGGCCCTGCACCTTCAATGGGCCCTGCACCTTCAATGGGCCCTGCACCTTCAATGGGCCCTGCACCTTCAATGGGCCCTGCACCTTCAATGGGCCCTGCACCTTCAATGGGCCCTGCACCTTCAATGGGCCCTGCACCTTCAATGGGCCCTGCACCTTCAATGGGCCCTGCACCTTCAATGGGCCCTGCACCTTCAATGGGCCCTGCACCTTCAATGGGCCCTGCACCTTCAATGGGCCCTGCACCTTCAATGGGCCCTGCACCTTCGCCACCAAGGGCTACGCCGTGGCGGACTTTGCTCCCTGTTATTTCCCATTCCCCCTCACCCACCACAGACCCGCATTTTAGGACTACACGCGCCTCTGCTTCTCTCTCTTCGGAGACCGAGTGCCATACTGGATCACCTTCAACGAGCCCTACACCTTTGCCACCAAGGGCTATGCTGTGCGGGACTTTGCGCCTGGGCGCTGCTCCGACCGGCAGTGCTGTGCGGAGGGCGATGGGGCGGTGGAGGCGTATGTGGTGGTGCACCACATGCTGCTGGCTCACGCTGCTGCTGTGGATTGCTACAGGAGAGAGTTCCAGGTAGGTGCGTCGGGGGGTGTTGCTGCTGTTGCTGCCGCTGCTGCTGGCTGCTACAGGAGAGACAGAGGTTCAAGTAGGCGGGTCAGTGGCTACTACTGCTGCTAGGGAGGGCGATGGGGGGGTGGAGCTGTATGTGGTGGTGCACCTCATGCTGCTGCTGTTCAGGAGAGACCTCCAGGTAGGGAGGTCGGCTGTCGGAGGCTTCTGGGGCTGGTGTGTTTGAGGAGAAAAAGTCGAGGGTGAGTAACAAACCGTGTGCCCTAGAATGCGAAGCCCTAAACGTGAAACCCAGGAAAATCCCCATTTTCTTGCGTCTCCTCCATTCCATGCCGTCCCTCACCCCACCGACCCTCTTCCATTCCCTCTATTTTCTTCACCCCAGCTCTCCTCTTTCATTCCCTCTCTCCCTTTTTTCCTCCAACTTTCTTTTCCCCCACCACAATACCAGAGGCTAGCAAAGATTTTTGGTCTCACATATTGTCTCTCTCTCTTTCTCTTCGCTCTCCCTCTGCCTTTCTTTCTCTCCCCGCCAGCCCCAGCAGAGGGGACAAATCGGCATCTCGGTGGACAGCGAGTGGGCGGAGCCTTTCTCTCAGCACCCTGATGTCGTGGCAGCTGCTGATAGGCGCATGCAGTTCAACCTCGGATGGTGGGTGACCCTGCTGGACAGCGAGTGGGTCACAGGACTTGTTCCACCCTCCTGTGACTCTGCTTCCTTCCATCCACACCGCGTGTGTACCACTGCGTGCATGCCTGCATGGCGGACTGTTGAGGCTCCTTCGAAAGTGCCTGCGTGACTAATCGTTCACCAGGCTGCCCATCACCCACCCAGGCTGCCCATCACCCACCCAGGCTGCCCATCACCGTCCCTCACAACCAACAACGTGCCCCCTCCTTCTTCCATCCTGCTTCCCCCCGCCCCCTTTCCCCCTATCCCCCCCCAACCAGGCTGCTGCACCCCACAATTGTCGGCTCCTACCCACCTGCTATGCACCACCACGTGGGTCCCCATCTGCAGCTGCTCCCCCACCATACGCCATTGCGCTGCCATGTTTCCTCTAATACTCTGTAACACCCGCCTTCCTCCTTCCCCCCTCCCCCCCCAGGCTGCTGCACCCCATATTCTTTGGCGCCTACCCACCTGCCATGAACCACTACGTGGGCCCCCGCCTGCCCTCCTTTTCCCCCTTACAAGCTGCCTCGCTGAAAGGCAGTGTGGACTTTGTGAGACTCAACCACTATACGTCCAGATACATTGCACATGCAGCTCCCAGTGGGGACGGGTACAAGAAAGCTACAGATGCAGGAGAGGGGGGCGTTAAAGCCAGACTGTGGAGCTACTTTGATGACCAGCATGTCACTGTTCATGGTGTGAGCATGTCACTGTTCATGGTGTGAGCATGTCACTTTTCATGGTGTGAGCATGTCACTGTTCATGGTGTGAGGATGTCACTGTTCATGGTGTGAGCATATCACTGTTCATGGTGCGAGCATCACTCTTCATTGCTTCTCTCTGGCTGTTCTCCCCTAGCTCTCTCATTCTCTTCCCATTTCCTTTCCCTTCTTCTCCGTGATTTTCCTACTTCATCTTTTCCCTTGCTGCGCGCTTGTGTCTCTGTCTCTATCTGTGCATGTGTCCCCCTTCCATGCATGCATCGTACAACTCATGGCATGTCCACGTGATGCTCCACCCATGACGTTACTCTACTATGCGTTTTCCACGGATGGCAATCACATGGCAGTTGAACGTGATGGCCGCTTGATTGGCCAGCAGGTGATTCACAACCCATATTCTAACTCCTCTCCTCTCCTCTCCTCTCCTCTCCTCAGTCAGAAAAGGAGCTTGAATAAGCTGATGATCAATGAAGGCACTCAGCCTCAAGTACAAACAAAGTTGGGGTTGAAGAAGGGAAGGGAAAGGATGGGCTGCAGTTGCAACCAAATCTCCAATGATGAGCTGGCAGACTCGTTGGAATAACAAGTCTACGCCTAAACCACAAGTAAACTACATGGCTTCACGACCTGCACATAATTTCATACCATGCACAACCCCACGCTCCCCTCCCCCATCACCATGCGCACACGCTAACCTGGCACCTGCATGGCTGTACGAGGTGAGTTGCTGAGGACAGGGCACGTCACTAGCGGCTCACCCTTTTCTCCCCCATTCCCGCTCCCCGTGCACGCCTACCAACTTACATCACACCAGGTGGCGTCCTCATGGCTGTACGAGGTGCCGTGGGGCTTTCAAAAGCTGCTCATGCACATCACCACCACTTACAACGCACCGCCCATCTACATCACAGAGATTGGTAATGGAGGGGCTTGGGCGCACTTAGCGCATGTGTGGTGTTTGTTCCATTGCGCATGCCATGCATTCTGACCATATCATCTTTCTCTAGGAGAAGGGAGGCGCCGAGGGTCGCCTTGCTCCTGTCTGGATCTGGCCATGCCCCCTCCGTTTCGTCCCCTTCTTTCTCGCTCCTCTCTGCTCCATCGCTCACCCACCACCCTGCACACAACTCCCCTCGTCTGCCTCACACCGTTATCACCAAGGCCCCCAGTCTCCTCAAAGTGAGAATCTCTTGTGCCCTTTGCCCCAATTTAGCCCTCTTTCCCCCACCTTGCAGGCCCCAATGAGGAGGACAAGCGAACCACACCCTGCAACCTTCTCTGCCTCACTTGTCCCCACTCCTCCCCACCGGCCTCCCACCTACCCCCACACTCCGTCAACCCTACCCACACCCTCCTACACCCCTGCAGGTCTAGATGAGGAGGACGACCCGTCGCTGCCCCTCCACGTGGCCACCAGTGACCCACACCGCATCCGCTACTACCACGCGTACCTCTCGTGCCTTCTCAGCGCAATCAGGTGCACTTGACTGGTGTCACCAAGCGGCTTTGGTCTGGTCACTGCCTCCTCTCCCCATGCATGCCACCACCAGTGACCCACACCGTCCGCCTCCGCTACTACCACACGTACCTCTCACACCTTCTCAGCACCATCGGGTACATTTGCCTGGCCTCACCTTCAAGGCTACTCTGTGCTCTCCACACTCCACACTTCCACAAGAGTGACCACAGATCCGTGATCCCCACCGCATTTCCACCTGCTCGCTGCTATGAGGTGGGTTCACCCACCTGGCCTCGCCTTCACCCACCTGGCCTCGCCTTCACCCACCTGGCCTCACCTTCACCCACCTGGCCTCACCTTCACCCACCTGGGCCCCCACGTTCCTTCACGCCTGCTGCACCATGCTGCCCCATGACCGCCACTCAATGGATGGGCGCTAATGCAAACCGGAGGGAAGATGAAGAGGGGAGCTGTAGGGACAGCACGTTGGGCCTCCACATGTTTGGTCTGAACCTGCTCACTGCCATGCCATGGTCTTCGTGCTCAACTCGTCCCATTCCTGCTGACATCACCAGGCACGTGCTGACATCACCAGGCACGTGCTGACATCACCAGGCACGTGCTGACATCACCAGGCACGTGCTGACGTGCGCTCGTCCACTGCCATCTCTCCCCTCTTCCTGAATGCAAGAAACAAATCAGAGGAAAACTTGAAATTTTCACCCCTTTCCCTGCATGTGTGCGTGGCAGGAGAGGGGCGGATGTGAGCGGGTACATGGCATGGTCGTGGATGGACAACTTCGAATAACAGATGGGGTACTCACGCCGCTTTGGCCTCGTGCATGTGGACCGCACTAATGGGTTGAAAAGAACACCCAAGGCGTCTGCTCTGTGGTGGCAGAGGCTTCTATCGGGGAAACCTGTGGACCGGTCGTGGATGCGTGTTTGCCATGGCCTCAGATTCGTTTTGGCTTAGGCTGAACCGACAGTCTTAGGAGTGTGCTGAAGGCTGATCAATCAGTGTTGCCTTAGAAAAACAGTCTGAATTTTCAGTGTTCCTTTTGTAAAAAAAACTGATCAATCAATGTCACCATTTGACAAAGGCTGAACACTTGTCTACACTACAAACCAACACAACATACCATTTATAAGCTTAGCATTGAGAGAAGGACCTTACGTGGAATAATACTCAAACCGTGTCCTCGTCGTTGTCATCATCACCACCACCACCACCACCACCACCACCACCACCACCACCACCACCACCACCACCACCACCACCACCACCACCACCACCACCACCACCACCACCACCACCACCACCACCACCACCACCACCACCACCACCACCACCACCACCACCACCACCACCACCACCACCACCACCACCACCACCACCACCACCACCACCACCACCGTCAAACTTATATGTTGCACGTTGTGTAGGCTGTAGTGGGGTAGCCCATATGGGGTACAACCCAATGAGGGTTAGGTACTTGTACTCCTGCATGCTGTTAGTTTCATCATTCTCGCTTTCACATTCTGACATGGTATCAAAGCAGGTCCACTCTTAGGACCGTTTTTAGGGCCCACCGAATCGCGCTACAAAACACATCGCGCCGCCCTGTTCGCGCCACGCTGCCCTGCCCTGCCCTGCGTTGCGCTGCCCACGCACGCCCTGCCGTGAGCCCTGCCCTGCCTGCGCACGGCTCGCCGCCGCGTTGCCCTGCCCGTGCGCCGCTCGCCGTCGCGCGCCCTGCTCGGCCCGCACGCCGCTCGCCGTCGCACGCCCTGCTCGGCCCGCACGCCGCTTGCCGCCACGTGCCCTGCCCTACCCGCGCGCCTCCTGCCGCCGTGTCGCCCTGCCCGCGCGCCGCTCGCTGTCACGCGCCCTGCCCGGCCTGCACGCCGCTCGCCGTCGCGCGCCCAGCCCGGCCTGCGCGCCGCTCGTCGCCGCGCGCCCTGCCTTGCCCACGCGCAGCTCGCCGCCGCGCGCCCTACCCTGCCCGCGCGCAGCTCGCTGCCGCGCGCCCTGCCCTACCCGCGCGCAGCTCGCCGCCGCGCGCCCTGCCTC